ATCTTACCATTACCACAACTACTAAGCCGTCAGGATCGTACACCTGTCAAAGCAACATTCAGACTATTTGTAAAGCGGTTTTCCTGTATCTTATAGTAAAAATAATACACAAAGTTTGATAAAAGGCGAGATAAAAAGTACTGAAAGAGAGCAAAAACACTACGTTCACTGGAGGAAGAACTGAAGAGGACAGTGAGTACAAAGATTTATCAAGTTACTACAACTACAGTGTAAAAGTACTTCTTTCTTTATCATCAATTTCTGATAAATAATCAAGAATTGCGTATTTTATAAAAGACAATAAGGCTGAGTGAAGTTCAGACACCGTTACAACAGATTTAAAACAAAAATTGAAAAAGATTGTTGCCAGTAGAGCTGAGTAGCATTAAGAAGTTGTCGATACGATACATACCTCGATACATAGGCCACGATATGATACGCTTTTCAGTACAATGAGCTTAAAATTTGATATGATATATTTCACATCGATTTGATACAGTTCAGTTAAATCATGGCTGTGATACTGAAACTCTACTAAGTTAATTTGAAAAACACAATTTTACTCATCGAAATAGTGAAAATGTCAACACTTTTGTACCGTATTTTTTGGATTATAAGTCACAGTTTTTTCATGTTTTGGGTGGTCCTGCGACTTACACTCCGGTGCAACATATATAATAACATTTTCAGACTGAGAGCTACGAGAGGCTGTAGTTTCGTGTATCAATTTTCTGTGCATGTCTCCTGCAGAAAAAGCCACTGTCCTGCTGCAAGTAGTGAAATATGCAGCAGAAAACCGTAATCGAGCGGCAGAAAGAAAGTTTGGAGTGAGCAAGAAACTTGTGAGGGACTGGTGGAAAGCGGGAATGGAGAACACAACTTCAACCGAGAAGGTGCACCGTGTAACTTTCCTGGAAGTCAATGGATGATAAGGCATGGACTCCAGTGATAACCGAAGTTTCGCGGAGTTGCTCAGAAGTGACACCAAGGATGAAGAATTCAATGGATTCAATGGATTTAGTGATTTGGAGTGAGATCGAGAAGTTTGTTAAACTTATGTTCTGTTGTTTATGCTATAGTTATCTGAATAACTTAATATGTTACGTTAACATATTAACGCCTATTCAGTCTGTTGTTCTTTATTCTCTTGTTATTACTAGAACTTGCCTTTCAACATGAAATGTCAGTTCCTTGTCACTGATTTTATAAAATAAATTTCCCCCAAAAAGTGTGACTTATAGTCCGGTGTGACTTGTATATGTTTTTTTCTTCTTCATTATGCATTTTTTGGCTGGTGCGTCTTATATTCCAGAGCCACTTATAGCCTGAAAAATCTGGTAGCTCTTACACAAAATAATTTAGTAAAAATTACTCTTGGCGATATATCAATACAACAGCCCATGATATCGATACTGTAGCATCACATTGAACGAGATGATATGTCGATATTTCAATATTTTTGCACACCTTTAGTTGTCAGTTTCAATGATTTGCAGCACTACTACTCAGTTAAATCTGATATGCAAAATACAAGTCAAGATCTAGTCTGGAGCACTGCATCTTGGCAAAACACTTCACACACATTGCCGACTCCAGGAAGGGCATCTGGCACAAAAACACTGCCAAGCAACAGTTATAAATATTACATGCATTTTGTTCTCCATCAGACGATTTGCATTTTAATACCACAAGTGAGACTTTACTTAAAGGTGCAGTGGAAGGTCCACCAGCTGCTTGTTTCCATGGTGATGTTATTGCTTTTCCAGGAATATTCCACATTATCTTAGTATCTCCATCGAGGAACTTATAACACAACTACCAGGCCAAGTTACAAGTAAAATCGATGGAGAGGTAAATCTGTTCACAGCAAGAACATATCTTTTCCATTCATGTATTTATTTTTGCTATAGAAAAAGCTGGAATTGAATAATTGCTTTGCCAAGAATGTTTAACTTTAACATGACCAAACACAAAGAAAACGTGACTATACTGACTCATGTTCGTCATGAATGGGCCTAGTGCAGAACCATTTTCCTTAATTACTCACTCGTTTCACAATTTTATTACAACAACCAAACCAAACCAAGCCGAAGGTGCCCCAGTTTTTGTTTTTGAAAATCTAGTCACCCTATACTAAGACTGTGCAGTTAGGGATGTAACGATATCCAAATCTCACAATACGACATTTTCATGATCTGCATCTCATGGTACGATATTTATTATGATATTTGTAGAGGTGAACAAAACGGTGAATATGTAACTTACTTCTTTAAAAAATACTGATACTGTTAATAATGGTGCTGTTGTAATATGAAGAAGATTTAAGATTTAAAAGTGTTATTAATGTTAAGTTTCTAATGACAGCACCAAAGGATCATGGTCTATGTAGTTCCCTGTTTTTTTAGCTATTGCTGCACCATAACAAAGAGACTTGAAGTTTCGATATATTTTGACAGTCCACGATATTATTGTGCGAATTCTGATGACACAATATCACGATATTTTGGTTATTGTTACATCCCTATGTGCAATTAATCAAATTTTGACCACGATTTCGATTTGTGTGTCAAACGATTTCCAAACTCATTTAATCGAGTTGAAACAATAAAGCTTAACAAAGTTTATTTTGGGATATTTTTTATATAAAATAAGTATATTTAATATTTTTTTAAATATAAAGATTGTAGAACAGCTGGATATAGAGTTTATTTTGGACACATTTATGTTTTTTCTGTCTTGTTTCATGTCCAAAGTATATTTTATTCATTTTATGTTTTATACATCGCAAAACTGCTCTAAAGGTTCATATCTGTAACCTATATTTATTTTCAGTTTGAAAGTTTTTTGTAAATTATCAGTAAAAGTTTTTGAGAAAGAGAAATGCTGATTGTGTAACTAAAAAATAATTGTTTGAATAATCGTGATTTCAGTATTGACCAAAATAATCGTGATAATGATTTTTTCCGTACTCGAGCAGCTCTACCCTGTACATAGCGGATCTTTAACTCTGGTCGTCATTAGGGATGTAACGATATTCAAATGTCTCCGTTCGATATTATCACGATATGCAACTCACGGTACAATATTTATTGTGATATTTTGGAGTGGCAAATATAATTCTGTGTAGGACCCATTTTTGCTTTTAAAATACCATGACAAGATTTTGATGCGCATCTCAAGAATTCAAGTCAAAAACATATTTCTTCATGTTGTCTGCGCTGAAATGAATCATGGGATATGTAGTTCCCTATGGTTATAAGCTGTTCTAACTAAACAACAGTGCATTTAAGCAAAGGAACTTATAATTTCATATATTGTGACAGCTCTCGATATTATTGTGAGACTTCTGATGATACGATATCAAGATATTTTGGTAATTGTTAAATCCTTATGTGCAATTATTCGAATTTTGATTGCGATTTCGATTTGTGTGTCAAACGATTTCCAAACTCATTTAATCAAGTTGAAACGATAAAGCTTAACAAAGTTTATTTTGGTACGGTCAGAATCTCAAGAATTCAAGTCAAAAACATATTTCTTCATGTTGTCTGCGCTGAAATGAATCATGGGATATGTAGTTCCCTCTGTTTATTAACTGTTCCAACTAAACAACAACACATTTAAGCAAAGGAACTTAGAATTCGATATATTGTGACAGCTCTCGATATTATTGTGAGACTTCTGACGATACGATATCAAGATATTTCTGTTATTGTTACATCCCTATGTGCAATTAATCTAATTTTGATTGCGATTTAGATTTGTGTGTCAAACGATTTCCAAACTCATTTAATCGAGTTGAAACGATAAAGCTTAACAAAGTTTATTTTGGTACGGTCAGAATCTCAAAAATTCTAGTCAAAATCATATTTCTTCATGTTGTCTGCGCTGAAATGAATCATGGGATATGTAGTTCCCTCTGTTTATTAGCTGTTCCAACTATACAACAATGCGTTTAAGCAAAGGAACTTATAATTCGATTTTTTGTGACAGCTCTCGATATTATTGTGCGACTTCTCACGATACGATATCATGATATTGTCACGATATTTTAGTTATTGTTACATCCTTAGTAGTCATAGTCGCTGGTCTTTATTGATTTACTGTTTTATGACACTAGAATACAGTATGTGCCATGAGTGTGCCAGTTGCTCCAAATGATGCAGCAACTTTGTTATTACATAATCATTATCATTGCAGACTAATCACCACGTGCGTAAAGTAGGTTTACAGCTTCAAACCGTTAATTGCACAATAATTAAACACATGAAATAAGTTTGGAAACAACATAAATCTTGACCTACACCGCAGTTTGCATAGTTGTGTCAAAATGCGCCGCTCGCAGACTGCCAAAACCCAAACCGTGACAACGCGTTGAAAGGAAATCGCAACTTCTCAACGCGTGAAATTACCGCGTGGTGTGCGGCAACACAACTGTCATCTCGTGAGATTAGACAAGACCGTTTTTTTTTGGCACGTTTCTTTACGATATTCAGCGCTGAAATCCAACCCTTTACCTCGTGCCCCGCAGAAGAAGACCCCTGGTGGAGGTGGTGGTCTGCGCATTGGGAACGGACAGGCTAACAGCGCTAAGTCAAACGCCACCCAAAATGCAATGTAAACAGTGCGTAATGGCCACTCGCGGGACGCTTTTTGACGAGCTAAACCAACTTAAAACTACAACGTGACCAGATATGAACAGTCTGTGTGTACGAAGCGAGTTGTCCGTGTGTTTTTGGACCTTTTTTGAGCTTTGACAGTAGCGTGAACGTTGCAGCGTGAAGTCAGCTATGTCTTTCTCCAAAAATACAAACTTTAAAGGCTTGATCCACATTGTAAACGCTAAAATCGCGTTTTTAACCAGCTTAAATCTCAGCTGCAGGTTTCTCCAAACACAAGAAAGTTGCGAGCCACAGGAAAGAAGTAAGAAGTAAGGAGAGACTTCGGGTTAGGACACTTTCTGTTACAGAGATACAGACCCGTGGCGAACTTTACCGTACCTTTTCTGAGGTCTGCGTGCGCCCCTCGGTCAGCAGTCCACTTGGCAGCGCTCGGTTCCGTGGTAAAAATCGCGTAGTTTTGACGTAAATGACCAAAATTCCGCCGTCGTAGAGCTGAAGTGTTGGAGTGACACGGGTTTTTCTCGCTCTGCTCCTCTCTCTCTGTCCCTCTTTCTCTCTCTCTCTCTCTCTTTCTGCGTGTCTCCAGTCACAGGCAGCAGTTGCAGTTTTTTCCAGCTTGGTACGGGAGCGCGCGCAATGGGATTCGGGGCTGGACGAGAGCGGCGGGAGCGCGCACTCAGTAAGGATCACCAAAACTGAAGCACCTCCACGGACAAGCAGGGTGAGGAGAAGGTCTTTAAAGGTCCCATGTTACGCAAATGGACTTTTGTGAGCCATGTTATAATACTGTCATCTCCTCAAAAACAGACCTGGACTTGTGTTTTGTTTCATCACACATGTTTGAGTATATGTTTTATTATTAGTCTGTCTACATCTCCAAAGCTCAAAATGCTCTGTTCCACCTTGTGATGTCATGAAGCGGTACTTTTCAAGTTAACACCAACCTTTTACCTTTAGTTCAGTAGAGATTGTAAATTCCAGGGCTGAAATGATCCAAATGATTCTAGTGAATGTATATAGTAAGTCTTTATTTATATAGCGTTTTCATGGACATTTTCTATCCACAAAGACACTTTACAGAGCATTATTCAGCATTATTCATTCACTCTCTACCTGGTGATGGTAAGACACTGTTGTAGCCACAGCTGCCCTGGGGCACACTGACAGAAGCGCGGCTGCCATGCCACTCGGCGCCATCCGTCTCTCCGACCACCACCATCACTCACACACACACCACTTTCATACTAGACAATGTGGGTGAAGTGTCTTGCCTAAGGACACACAATGATTGAATTGATTGTATTTAACTGACCTTGACTATCAACTGTTCATGGAGACCTGGAGCATGTTTATGGTGTATGGTGTTTAAAAACACAGTGGACAGGGTTCCCATAGTAATGGAAATCCTGGACAAGTCATGGAATTTTGTAAATTCAATAAAAGTTCTGGAAAAGTCATGGAATACGGAATTAGTACATGCAACTACAGCGCTCTGTTAAGTTCTCATTAGGATATTACCGTATTTTTTTAACTATAAGTTGCTCCAGACTATAAGTCGCACCAGCTAAAAAAATGCATAATGAAGAAGAAAAAAACATAGATAAGTCACAGCGTACTATTAAGTCGCACTTTTTGGGGGGAAATTTATTGTATAACATCAGAGATCAGGAACCGACATTTCATGTTGAAAGTCAAGTTGTAGTAATAACAATAAAACAGAACAACAGACTGTTAACGTCACATATGAACAGTTCTTCAGATAAATATAACATAAACAACAGAACAGAACAAGTTTACCAAACTCTCCATCTCACTCCAAATCACTAAATCCACTGAATTCTTCATTTCAGATTCAGCATCAGTTCCAGTTAGAATTATTCTGGCCTTTCTGAATCCCGACTTTGTCAGTCCAATGACTTCTAGGAAAGTTATAAGGTGTTACATGTCTGTTTACCTCCAGAGGTCATGGAGTTGCTCTGAAGTGACACCGAGGATGAAGAATTGAATGGATTTAGTGATTTGGAGTGAGATGGAGAGTTTGGTAAACTTGTTCTGTTCTGTTGTTTATGTTATAGTTTATCTGAAGAACTGTTCATATGTGACGTTAACAGTCTGTTGTTCTCTCTTCTATTGTTATTACTAGAACTTGACTTTCAACAGGAAATGTCGGATCCTGGTCTCTGATTTTATAAAATAAATTTCCCCCCAAAAGTGCAACTTATAGACCAATACGATACAATATATATATATATATATATATATATATATATATATATATATATATATATATATATATATATATATATATATATATATATATATATATATATATATTATTTTTTTGTTCTTCACTATGCATTTTTTGGTTGGTGCGACTTATATTCTTATACTCCGATTTATAGTCCACAAAATACAGTAGTCATTTTTGTATTTCAATGCCCTTCTTAAAGCTGCCATCTTTAGATCGTATTCTCAGTTGTATTCTCACATGACACCACTAGATGTCATCTATGTTATTGCTGTATGATAATGGATCGTCTTTGGACTGACATCTACTGGGATGAAAAAGGAAAATAAACTTACAGATGGTAGCTTTAATCCAGTTAGTGGTTACATAGTGCACCTTTAAAGCTGATCTATTATGCAGTTGTCACTATCAATCAATGTTTCAGATCTATGTTCTAGTTGTTTCACCTCACCATTTACTCACCTGAAGCTCTGAAGTCCTTCTCCAATTTTATGGTGATACACGTAGGTTTGGCAACGTAGTGTAGTCATTTTGATACAGTTTTTTTTTTTAAATCCTCTGCTCACAACAACTCACCCTTATGTAACAGATAATACTCCCTACAACTGTACAACAACTCACCCTTATGTAACAGATAATACTCCCTACAACTGTACAACAACTCACCCTTATGTAACAGATAATACTCCCTACAACTGTACAACAACTCACCCTTATGTAACAGATAATACTCCCTACAACTATACAACAACTCACTCTTATGTAACAGATAATACTCCCTACAACTGTAGAACAACTCACCCTTATGTAACAGATAATACTCCCTACAACTATACAACAACTCACTCTTATGTAACAGATAATACTCCCTACAACTGTACAACTCACCCTTATGTAACAGATAATACTCCCTACAACTGTACACAACAACTCACCTTATGTAACAGATAATACTCCCTACAACTATACAACAACTCACCCTTATGTAACAGATAATACTCCCTACAACTGTACAACAACTCACCCTTATGGAACAGATAATACTCCCTACAACTGTACAACAACTCACCCTTATGGAACAGATAATACTCCCTACAAATGATCTCTGTTTTCTCTTCACTTGTTTTTTTTTTTTTTTTTTTTGTAAATGAGCAGGCGACTTCAGATTGTCAAATGTTGTTTTTCCAAACATAGTCTCCTCCAGTGCAGTGACAGAGCAGAGGTCAGAGCCAGGAGAGTCCAGGATGTGAGGAAAAAAAGGAAGAGGAGCAGGAAGCAGGAAGAGGAAGTGGAGTAGGACTAGGAAGTTGAAAAGGAGGAAGAAGAGGAGGTTGAAGAGGAAGAGAAGGAAGAGGAGTAGGAAAAGGAGGAAAAAGAGAAGGTTGAAGAGGAAGAAGAGGAGGAAGAGGGACAGACATGATGACTCCAGTTTTCCAGTGATGCTTTTTCCCTTCCACAGCTGAATAAATGTGAGTCATTTTACATTTGACTGGACAAAACACAACTCCACACACTGTACGTAAGAACAGAAGAGGATTAGAAGAAGGTTAAGGTCACGTATGAGTCAGGCTCTCGTGTGTTAGAGCCGCTGGACTGAATATTTACTTCCCTTATGCATTCTGAGCGTCCTAATTACTCAAAACAGTGAGTCAATAAGCACTTTTATTGCAGATTTTATTGCATTTTACAGGTGAAAGCAAATCAAAAATTGTTACAGTTGATTTAAGATAACATAAAAATACAATAATACATGTTGCATTAAACTTATCTATCGACAGCAGGAGAGTCACACTCAAATTCACAGAGGCCAAAATTAAAAACTAAGTTGTGGGCCAAAGAAAATATTTATTGAATATGTTTTATAATAGTTTTGCTTAAACATTGAATCCAGAACAAGCTGAATATAAAATAATAACAAAAATTTTAATAAATAATGTCTGTATATTCTATCTGTAGCCAGTGGGCAGCTCTAATATATATTTGATATGATCTCGCAGGCCAAATATAATTATATTGCGGGTCAAATTTGGCCCCCAGGCCTGAGTTTGACATGTCTGATCTACAGTGACAAGCTGGTGAAACCACAAAGCCAAGTTATAAGTAAGATCTGTGGAGAGGCAAGTCTGCTCACAATAGGAATTTGTGTTTTTTTGGAACAGTGTAGTTGAATAAATGCAAGACAGAACATTCTAGGCAACGCAATAACCTCTCTATATATGGAGACAGATACTCCTTAAATAATCGGTACAATATTGAATACATTTATATAGGTTGTTTTGAATCGGAGTACGTGGCACTGTGAAACCATGAACCATCAACATTCCCTGGGGTGTGATACTAACTGTCAGCACTGCTCTCTCTTTAATAACAGACCTGGAGTTGTGTTTTGTTTCATTCACGTGTTAGACTAACCCTTTACTATTAGTTTACATCTGAAAAGTGTTCAAAATGCTCTCTTCCACCTTATGATGTCATGAATTGACATTAGTTCACTAGAAATTGGAAATTCCACAGCTGAAATGATCCAAATCATCCTAGTGAAGATGTATGAAGTTTAAAAGCACAGTGGAGCTCTTCCTGTATTACCACATGACATCACAAGGTGGAACATTTTTCAGTTTGAAGAAAAACTCAGTCTAAATGTGCAGAGTTTGTGAGTTAAACATGTGTGAATGAAACAAAACACAACTCCAGGTCTGTTTGTGATGAGGAAAAATTAAAACATAGATCAGAAAATAGTGTAATATAGTCAGTGTTGGAGAGTAACAGATTACATGTACCAGAGTAATCAGAGTACAAATTATGAGTAACTGTATTCGGTTACAGTTACTGTTTCCATGAGTGGTAATTGGATTACAGTTACTTTGTTGAAATAAATGGATTACAGGGCGGTAATTTTCAGTTTTCACATTTTGGGCTAAACAAAGACTAAAACTAGAACTAAAACCAGAACTAAACTAAACCAGGACTAAAAACTAAAAACTAAAAAACTAAACTAGGACTAAAAACTAAAAAACTAAACTAGGAACTAAACTAAACTAAACTAAAAACTAAAACGACTAAACTAAACTAGAACTAAAACCAAAACTAAACTAGGACTAAACTAGAACTAAACTACGACTAAACCAGAACTAAAACCAAAACTAAACTAGGACTAAACTAGAACTAAACTAGGACTAAACCAGAACTAAAACCAAAACTAAAGTAGGACTAAACTAGAACTAAACTAGGACTAAACCAAGACTAAAAGCAGAACTAAACTAGGACTAAACCAGGACTAAAAGCAGAACTAAACTAGGACTAAACTAGAACTAAACCAGAACT